TAGGTCAATGCAATATATATGACCTCTACAGAGTCTGTTTGCATCTTCATGCCACCAGTCACGGTGGGAGTCGCTGATAAACCGATACGTGATTTGATACACATTTTGATGATTTTTGATGTTCAATCTGTTTTTTGGGGTGATGAACCCCCAATGACCATTTTATACATTTTATGTTCAGGGGAAGTGAAACCATCAGTAAATGTCCAGGATGGATATTCCATACTCAGAGCATGCGAGTGAGGCATTTGGTCCGGGATTGTCAGGTATTAACCCACAAGGAGCTATGAACATCCACTGCTTTCTTGGAAGTTGTGTTGTTTGAATATGTTGGAGCGGGTCTGTCTGAAAATAGCTTTGCCCAAAAATTTGATGGTGTATCAGTGTATCATCCTTGTCCCCACTACAATGGCCATGAATTGGGATATTCCCGATTTTAAGATGCAGATGGTTGCAAAGAATAGCCACATCCTGTATCCTGCAGGACATCCAGATTGCAACCCTTGAGCAGAAGACCAAGACGGTCACCTTCAAGACCAGCGGAGAAGGGAAGGGAAGATGTGTCAACACCCAGGTGTTTTTTTCCTGGCCAGACTGGACTCAAGAACACTGTGGAGATTATTCATACCTTTTCAGGTGGGTGGATTGAAATAGTAGTTTCATTGAACTGCATTTGTGTTAGGGGAATGAACCTAATATAGACACCACTCTTTTTATTTGAGGGTTTTCATAAATGGAGGTACCCTGATAGCTGCATGGTTTTTAGTGGAGAATCCTATTAAAGTAGATGATTTAGGGGTACCCCCATTTTCGGAAACCTCCAAAGATCAAAGTACCTGGGATGACGATCTCGCTTGACTCATCACCGTAGCTGGCCAGGACTCGTGTATTGCAGGCTGAACAAGATGTGAAGGTCTTGGTGAATCAGGCAGCCTGCGCTCTATGGGATGATTCATGTGCTTGTTTTCTCTCTGAAAATGGGGGGATACTCCCAATTTATGGTCATTTTAAGAGAGAAACTGAGATTCAACTAATGGAGTGCCCGATGTTCAGACAAGCACCGTTCTGCAGTTCTTCTATTTTGCTACCAGTGGTCTATGTCTCAGTATTTGCAGACTGTTCTCACCTCAAACTTCCAATCATCCTCGGAGAATTTGAACCTTGGACTGTCACTAGGTTCAGACATTTAAAGGTAGTCATTTGAGCCAATGCATTCTATTGAAAGACACACGTTGATATCATAATATTATAGTTTTATATATATAGCTTTATATTGTTAATATAGTTATTCAGGTTTGAAAACGTCATATTTTTATGTTGTCTGAGTTGTTATAGTTTTTAATTGAACATATATATATATATATATCTGAGATGGTGTTAAGATAGTCAAATAGTCAAATGGTGTTTTCCCATATATTTTTGAGAAAACTTAACAGTACTCAGCTTATGTCTGAAAGAAGGGGACCCATTCATGGATCCGAACCTAATTGAACATTGAGTTGCCACTACTGTACTAAGATCAAAAACTGTTTTGAAACCCAACCGGTCGGGAGAGAAGGGGGGAGGATGCGAGAATAAAGGGAATCACATGCTGCAGAGAGAATTAAGTGGGGGAAACAACAAACATTTACATACATGGAATTTGGGTTCAAAAGCCAGTTCAATAAGAGGGAAATAACAGCGCAGATTCTTCTGTTCAAAAATCAGACATTTTCTGGATATGATGGGCTAGGATCATGCTGATTCACATACGCAGGAAATTTTCATACAGAGGTTAGCCAAGATCCAAAAAAGAATTTAAAACCGGGCAAGGGGAACGCATACAAAGTCGGAAATGAAGAACATTCCAACTTCAAAATTGGGGGTTTGTGTCAGTTATGTCCCAAAAATCACGGGAAGCCAGATGTCAAAACCCAATCGGTCGGGTGAGAAGGGGGGAGGATGGGAATCCGGTGTGAACCCCAAAAGAATAAAGGGAATCCAGGAGAATTAAGTGGGGGAAACAGCAAACATTTACATACATGAATTTGGGTCCAAAAGCCAGTTCACGATAGAAAATGGTAAATCAAAAACAGTGGTCTATAATTCATACTGGTTATACCCACCAACACCTGAAACTAAGCTCAAGAGAGTTCATTGAATGGAATCCCAAGTAAAGTCAAGAGAGGGGTTAACTTGAAGGAAGGGGAATGCAACTTCCCAATGAAGAGCATTTCAATTTTAGAACTCGTTATTAAATTATGTTCCAAAAATCAAGGGTAACAAGATGTTATAACCCAATCGGTCGGGAGAGAAGGGAGAGGGATGGGAGTCCGGTGTGAACTTCAAGAATAAAGGGAATCCACACAGATGAGGGATAGCAAAAACAACATGGAATCTGGATCCAAAAACCAGTTGAACAAATTCATGTGGGTTATACCCAAAGATTCACCAATGTGGGAAGCTAAGAGAGTTCATTGAAAAAAAATAATATAAATCATTATTAAACACCCAAGAAAGGTGATTCAAGCCCCAAATGATTCAAGGAATGGGAATGCATGGGAAATCCCAATTGCCAACGAAGAACATCTTAACTTTTTGGAACTCTGACTGGGTTGTCAGTTAATCCCAAAGATCAAGGGAAACAAGATGTCAAAACCCAATCGGTCGGGAGGATGGGAACCCGGTGTGAACCCCAACAGGAATAAAGGGAATCCAGATAATATATAAGGGAAACAACAATAAGTGGTCAAAGCGAAGTCCAACGAATATAGAAAACCAGAATCAAATTGAAATGTTGAGGGAAATCGGGAAAATATTCTTATGTTAAAATATATATATGATATCGCCTCCCAGCCAGCGGTGGCATCCTGGCCTTTGCTCCATCCGCCTGGGGCCTCAGAGAAGCCGACGATCATTCAAAAATGATCAACAAATAAATATATTTATCATATAATATTATATGACCATACTATATATATATATATTACTCAGAGTAGTATTATTATTATACTTTATATTTGTCATTATTTACCCATTATATAATATTTATAATATATATATATTATAATATATATATAAATTATATAATATAAATTATTTTATTATATATATTAATTATTATTATTATATATATATTATACTTATAATATATATACTATATTAATATTATTATATAATATATATATATACTTATTATTATATATATAAATTACGTCCGGGGTGGTTGACCCTGGGAATGAGGGATACCTCTCAAATGGTTTTTTAAATAGGGGAACATATAATAATATATTGCAACTCAAATGGTGAAATATTGTGAAATTTGTAAGATGTTTCTTTTCTTGGATCACCACCTTTTCTTTTTTCCCACCTTTTCTTGGATCTCATCCGGACCAACCCATAGCTCGGTCGAGCTGGTGAAGGATCCGCACTGCCACTGGAATTGGCCAGGCATTTCCCAGAGCCATTCCAAATTGCCTCACCGAAAGATCCCCAACATCTTTGGCCGAAGTCGACCATCCTTGAAGGTCCGCTTTTTCCTAGCCGGTTGGATAATAATAAACTGTTTTCAATGCCAATTTTACAGAATGAAACGTTAGAAACCTTCAGTCTTTCAACGTTAGAATAAACTGTTTTCGAAAGAAAATTTCAGTCCTTCAACGTTAGAAACCTTCCATGGCTCGTCGCCCAAAAAGCGTCAACACCAGCTCGAGCACGGGTGAGGCAAGGCACCCTTAGATGTTGAAAGTCCGAACCAAAGTTGGCAAGTTTTGAAAATATGTTTTGAAAACGAGTTGCCAAGTGAATGAATGAAAATTGGAAACCATTCAACCAAGCCGCAAACCACAACTTGGCTTTCCTTGGAACTTTTTCGAAGCTCCGCAATCGATGATCCTGAACCGATCTGAACCGGCAATCTTTAAAATGAACAAGTTTCCGTGAAATGAAAGGTGCAATTGAAAATGAGTTGAAAATTGAAATGCTGACAGAGCACCACGGCTCATCCAAATCTCCGCCCAACTTGTTGATCTTCTTGAGACCAGCGCGAAGCCTTTTCCGGCCACCAGCAGTCTTTGGAAACTGATACTCTTGGCTTTTCCTGCAAAAAGAGTGATCCAAGAAAAGGTGGTATAGACATGACGAAATGAAGCAGTCCTTCCCAAAAGATCCATGAGCTTGGTACGCTTCCTTTTTGGCAAAGGTTTCGGAAATCGGAACTTTCCTTGGATGGCCCGAGTGAGGCAAGTTTGACATCAAAACCGGTTACTATCCCAGAGGATCCATGTATATGGAATATTTACCTACATTTGCCCCTAAATGTAATTTCAAACAATCCCAATTTCAATGTAGGTAAATATTCCATACATGGATCCTCTGGGTTTTGTGGTTGATTTTTTTGGGGTTATGTAAATACATGATGAGGCTCCCCAGTTATAAGTTGGTTTATAACCCCCTAATATTATTAATTAATACTTAGACGTCTTACTTACTATCTGACTAGTGTTTTCATTTCGTATCGTGATTTTTATTAGCGATATTATTTATCTACCAAATACATGGGTCACTCTATTAATATTCCAATTGACCTGAGTGATGATGGGGTTCGTTCCCTACGGTTTCTGATTGGCAATCCAATTGCCAAGGTGCTCTTGGTGGCGTGGATCGTGGTCCCGATTATCCAGACCCTCGACCGACGTTGAGGCAAGCCCCCATAGTTCCAGGTGTCGAGAACCTGTCAAGGGCCCAAAAGAATGTTTTTTTTGAATGAACTATTATTTCATAGGCCTTCCATTGGACATCATAGTAGCCATCGGCTTTCAACCTCAAAGACATGTTTCCAAGACAGTTTCAAGTTTCTGTTGCACAGTACTACTTTAAATGCTGTTGAGAAACAGTCTCAAAAGCTTGGCAAAATGTTTGCGGTTCTTTCGGTATGTCAGGGCTTTGACGTTTTCGAGGATGAACGTCTCAGGGAGCCACCTTCTAATACGCATCACAACCTCATTTCAAAAATCATCAATTATATGTCAATCTGACCAGTTTAATAGTGCTGCAGAGTGGCAGCTTTCCCGATCTTCGCTCTAACATCTTTGTGCCCTCGTCGTTGTCCAATAGGACTAAAGGGTTGGCAAGGTGGACCCGACCCAAAGACGTTGATCAGCTTCTCAACACCTAAGTTTGCGTGCGTCCCCCAATGGTAAATGGTTTCAACAGCCAATTAAAATGAGAAACCTTTGTACTTGGTGCAATCATCGGAGAGCTTCTGGGGATGATATAGGTCGGAAAGTCGTTGAAGTAGAGCAGGGTCTGACTCTGACATGTAGAAAGCCTCCACTTTGAAGCCAAGTTGCCTAAGCAATTTCAATGAGTTGAAGGTGCTTTGAAACATGTTTCCCCATGTTTGTGCTTTGTCAAGTTCATTGTAAGTTAATTGATGTCAAGAAACTTCAAACATGGCGCCAATGGCCCAAGACCAGCGCAGTCTTCAGCGATCACCAACTTTGGCATTCCCCACCAAAGTTAAACATGAGCCTAAATGCCCTTTTTTAACCCAAGGTGACATGGTTCCAGTCATGGTGCAACCTTTGTCAATCTTTGTGTCAAGTCGTCAAGTTTCATTATGTGTTTGCACCCCGCACCCCAGGTCAAATTTCATTGTTTTTTTTGAACCCGTGTCAAGCAGCTTCGCGTCAATGCCGCTGTCAGCTTCGCGTCAATGCCGCTGTCAGCCATACCCAGCCACCCCAGGTTGAAACAACATTGAGGGATTATATTTTCAATATGTTTTGAATCATATGGTTCTTTTCGCAATGGGTGCGGCCAAGCATTCCAGCCTCACTTGATCACATCAGTTTGTTGAGCTTGCTCATGACATCTGCCGCTTTCTTGCTGCCGGCCTGAAAGGGGTTTTAATGAAGGGATCTCGTTCAGTGCAAGTTGAAGAAACAAAAGGAACACAACCGGCCTTAGGGCGTCCCTTTGCCTTTGCCTTTGGTTTCTTCATGCATGACTTCGGTTTTGCCTTCGCTTTCCCCTTCGCTTTTGCCTTTGGCTTGCTTCCCTTGCTGCCCTTCGGCTTCGGTTGGTCGTCCTCGTCCTCATCAACTTCTTCATCTTCGTCATCTTCCTCCTCCTGTTCTGCCTCCTCACCGTCGTCGTCATCGTCATCATCCTTGCTTTCCTGCTCCTCATCCTCTTCCTCTTCATCATCGTCATCTTCGCCATCATCCTCTTCCTGTTCACCTTCATCATCTTTCTCATCTTCATCGGCGTCCTGCCAGGGTACATCAAATTGTTTATCCAATTGAAGTTGATACATCGACCGACCATGGAATTGAATCACAGTGCTGTTTTACATCGACCGACAGGCGGATTCACCTTCGGCTTCTTCTGGTTCTTCTTTCGCTGAACCAAGGCAAGGAGGGATGGCTCAAAGAGGGAAGATTCAGGGTCCAGCATTCCCTCCCAGCATTTCTTTTCAAGCCACTTGAGAAGCATCTTGGCCTTGACAAACACATGAGTTTTCATTGGCTGGAATTTTATTTCAAAATCAGCGTCGAATGATTTTTGTTGGAACTTTACTTTGTTGGATAGAAGTTGCAGCTAAGTCGCATGGTCCTCTGTGAAGCATATGCCAACATAAGCCACCCGTTGTACTATAGCTTCCCATGCAGCCTTTCCATCGCCTTGGAAATTTTGGATGAAAATTGATTGAAATTTTGTTCAGAACTCAAATCATCCAAGTGACAGCAACTCAAGTCCAGCATTGCCGAAATGTTGAACTCGTGGAAGATCTCACCCACCTATTATTAAACTGATTCCAAAAAGTTGGGTCAAGTTGGCAACTACTATCAAAATTCATTGCAGCTTTGCAGTCAAGATACAGCTTCGGTTGGCAGGGCGTGGAAGGCCACCGGTTCAATGTCAGCGTCCTTGCGCCGGACGCCTCAGCAAGGGATTTCTTTTGGGTGACGAGCTGGGGTACACAATAGTACTATTGCTGACAGGGCACCCTTCTGATGATCTGGTTCATCACCTTCCCCCCCAACTGCGATCCTGTTCTTGGCACCATATGCCAACTTTTTGTCGGCAACACTCATTCGCCAGGTCTCTTTCTCATCCTTAGTTTTGTGCTGGCGTGTTTGGTGAACAATTGTTGTAACAACTCTCATGGATCTAACAACTTCTTTTAAGCGGCTGATTGAAACCTGTGACAATTGTCAAGTTTGCTTGAAAGAATGGTTTGTCAACAACACTGAGCCAAAGGTCTTCCCAATCTGGACAAACGATTGGGCCAATGCAGTCTCCATGGCTCGTGCCCCCATAGAACTTACGTTTCTTGTAGGGCAAGTTGGACTCTTCTGCCATGACCACGTACAATCTCTCCAACTGGGTCACCACGCTTCCACGGCTCCTTTTTTTCCTGGTGCGGATAGCCTTCTCATCCCACATCAAGTGTTTGATCGACTTGAACTTGCTGCTCAACTGTGTAGTGGCAGACGGCTTCACAGCACTGAGTAACGAAGATCCAAGACCTAAGACTCCAATTGACAACTTATTATTATGACAACTTGAAGTTTGGGAGCTTTGACTCATAGAAGCTGGTTTCATGTACTGTGGTTCCATTTGACAACTTGTGGACCTAAATAACTGGTTTCACATGCGGCCTTCACGTCCGCCATCCATCATCAGCACGCAATCGCCTGGTCGGAGAGTCCCATTCTCCAACCTCAGGCTGATAGCACTTTGGAGAAGCTTCGCATGCCTTCCCTCACGAAGTGGAGGAAGGCGCAAACTCGGTTGGGTGCCAGCCTCGCCAGCAAGCTTGGTATCCTTAGATTGGGATTCGAAGTCAAGAGAAAGTAAATGTTTGATTTGGTTGATTGGAGCTGCCAAGATTCGAAGAATATGGCCACTGATTTGTGGAGCTGGTTCCTGAGCATGGGTTCAAAGAAGTAGTTTTGAATATTGGGAAGTTCAGTCAACTTCATATTGCCAAGATTCGTCTCTGGATCAATCTCACCTTTCCACTTCGGGAAACTTGTTGTCTCCAAGGCAGTTGTCATACTTTGGACGTTGTCCTCTCACAGGTTTGAACCAATATTAAAGTTGATTACACTGACCAAAAATAGTTTTAAAGTTTTAAAGATCCCATGTGAACTCCTCCTCCACAATCAGTTTCACATGTGTTCGCACCATTTGGCAAGCTTTGTTGCGAAACCTGGGCCATGTTTGACCGTGGTCATGTTACTTCCTTTGAATTCAACTTGAACCACTGAAATTTTCAGTCTAAGACGAAGTGACCGTTAATAAATCTGAATCTACTAAGTATCAAACGCGTCGAGCTTCTTGATCGTGTCATCGTCCAGCTTGGGAGGTTCCTCGGACTTGTCGCCCTTCTTCTTGCCAGCTGGCTTAAGGATCTCCGGGGGTACCTGAAGTGAAACATGAAACGAGGGCCAAGAAAGATTTGTCCCAGTGGAATTGAAAGAGGGCCAAGAAAACAAAGGCCTTCAGGTGACTGGTTCCTGTTTCATCCTCTTCTTCGGCTTCTTCCTGAGGTACCAATTCGACCTCATCGTCGTCATCACCAACATCCTGCAGGGAAGCCAGTGTGACGATGGCCATGGGGTTATCACCAAAAAAATGGTCCTCACCAGCCCTTTTCTTGGCTTCCTTGATTTCTTTATCGGCTTGCCTAGCTGTTGCATGAAAGATGTCAATGCAGTTAATGGCTTTTCAAGTGTCATTGATAATATGTCAGCCAAGCCGCTCTTTGATTACATTCAGGCGGTTCTCGACTTCGCTGTTTGAGATCCATTCAGCAGCCTTAGTAGTATAGACGGTGTTGATAATACCCAAAAGAACGATTCAAACAATGACCTTTGATCATCCAAGAAGCCGGTTTCTTGTGGCGCACCAAGTTTTTGAAAGCCGTTTCGAAGGTGTTGCTGAAGATGGCATCCTGATTGATTACAGTAGCTGAGACCCAAAAATAAACTTAAGAAACATCAACTCAAATTCTTTCAATACTGGTGATGCTTGGCCTCCAGAAACGACCAGAACAGCTCTGCAGATTTTGGCCAACCTGGGTGGGAATCAGCACTTTGGGTTTGAAGTTTAATACATGACATGTTTGGTCAATTGTAATCCTTTGATCCCGCCTGCTCGCCAAGTCAGGTCCATCTTTTGATGGGAATACCCGCACTTCCTGAGAGGCAAGCTGGGATGAAATGGAAACTGCGGTGGCTATTTTGGATTCTTTTTGGAAAGCCAAGCCACTCCCTGAAAGATTCGTGGTCTTTGGAAGCACTCTTGATTTCAGTCAACAGTGCAGGTGACCAGCCGTACTTCCTGAGCCCACTTGTCATTGGGGTTCATTGGGAAACATCGATGTAGACCACCAAGTCCAATCTCAAGCCTTATTAAGAAGAAATTGGATCAAGAATCGTAGCGTGCTTGTCAAACAAGAGTTCCTTCAGATCCAGCTGCCCAACCATTAGATCACAGGTGCCTTTGCCATTGAGGGCACTGTTGATGCCTCTCCATGTAAGCATGTCAGCACCAAGATGTCCATTGCGCCACCCATCGTACCTTAAGATATGGATGGATTCAAGCATTCAACAACAATCCGTTTCCTCTCAAACAACAGTTTATGAAATAGTAAAATACTTTTGGTCAATCAAGTTGCATCGCAAACATGCACCATTCAATGTTCCGTGGGGATTTGGCTTTGTTCAGAATGATTTGGAGCTTCGTGTACGAATTAAAGGGGTTCTCAGAGCTAAGAGTTTCGTCTGCAGAAAGAAGCATCTTCAGCAGGCGCTCATTGGAGAAGACCCTCTTTGAGAGAGCCACGGAAGTCTCCACGAAGGATTCAGTCACCTGTTGCGGGAATGCATTGGATTGACATTTGATTTCTTAATTAAAGTACCAGCCTTCTCATTTTCACTGCTAGCTCTGAACTGCTGCATGTACATCTTGGAGAACGCTTCACTGCCTTCGCTGCAAAATCTTAGACTCAATGACATTTCAAATCGTGACCGGAAGCTGGATGTCAGTCAATCAGTCAAGCCAAGTTACTTTGAGGACCTGAGATCTTCTCCATGCGTGCCTTGCAGGCCAAAACGCTGAAGATTTTCTGGAGGGCAGTGTGGCACATGGTCTCTTTGTCACTCATGATATCCTGTCGCTGGTTGGCCGACAGGAAGTAGATGTCCGCATCGGATGTGGCAACCACATACTCAAAGGTAACCTGTCAATCAAGTTCATTCAATTGGATGCCAAGTTCACTGTGATGATTTAAAGGCAAGGGGCAGTCAAGGCAAAGCGCTTCCATTGCACCATGAGTTCTTCATCTTCGTTATCTCGGTACATGGACCTTAATAGTAAGCTTTCAAAATGGCAAGTGGGTTACAATGGCATTTCATTGCAGGCATAATTAAAATCATCAATTTTATTTTAATCATCATGGTCTTGAAGTTGAGTGGCAAAACGAAAGCCATCACATTCTCAAGCGGGCTGACAGGCTTCACTTTCTTCGCATCACAGGACACATGCCAGTCAGGCGCGATGGCAACTCGCACACGGTCATGGAAACGGGAGGGCGTGCTGTAGTAGCGCTCCCCCAAGTCATTGATGCTCTTTTGCCTCAATGGGACCTGATCGCTGAAGTTATGGGTGGCCATCATTAAAACAATTGGCACTGATGTTCAATTGTTACTACAAAATCTATTGAAACAGGGTTGAGATCGTGGCACTGGGGTCTGCATTGAATAAGAGGTCGCACTTGAACAAGCTCTGCGAGCATACATAGGATGCAGAGGGGTCAGCCGAACCACCGGGAAAAAGTGCATCTTTCAAAGCATTGACATCGAAGACAGCCTCAGGATGTCAAACTTTGGGTTTTGATTTGTTTCGAGCAAAATCGCGTAGTACTACACTACTACTTTGAGCCTGGCTGAATCTCAATTTCAATCCATTGTTTTGTAAGTTTCAAACATTAAATCATTGGATCATATTATTATTATGGATCCCAATCTAATTTGGATTTCAATCTGAATTGGATTTCAACTTTGAATGAGATTCAGTCTCCAAGAAACCTGAGTAGCACCATGGCCCAAATCCAGTGGTTCTTCATTTTCTATTCCCGGCCAAGTGCTTTCGACCAGGCTCTGGAGGGAATCCTGGCAAGACTGCATCAGCTCCACGTTGTACTTGGCACCTGTGCGGCAAATGAGCTGATCTTGGTAGATTTTGGTGATTTCAGTAAAGTTAAATTTGGGAACATCGAATCAATTCAATGGCATGACTTTATTTGTTACACCATTAGCCAGCTATACCAATACTGGAACAATACCCTGGCCTGTGGACGAAGCTAAAGCAGCTGCATCATTTTCAGCATCCAGCAATGGGGCTATGCTGGAAGAAACCTTGCTCTTTGACCTGGAAAGCCTTTTGGGTTCCGCTTTCGGTTCAGCCTTGGGTGCTGGCTCAACCTTGGCTTTTGGTTCAGCCTTAGCTCTTGGTTCAGCCTTGGCTGCTCCAGCCTTGGCTTTTGCAGCCTTACTGACTTTCGCTTGCGGTTCCTCAGAGTTTTCTCCAGCTTTTCGTTTCCCCATTGCCAACGGTGAAAAACGATCTGATCCAAAATTGCCGCTGAAGTCACAAACACTTGAATCCCCACAGGCGTGAACTGAAAACTGAATCGTCAACCGGTTCCAGATTCAATTGATGAACAAAAATTAAAAAAATCAATGATCCAGAAAATTTGGTTGGTGGCTGTTAAGCACATCACCTTGCCCAGCACGGGGTCTGACAGGCCCCCCTCCCTACAAGCTCCGGAGCGCTCGGGACCTTGCAGGGCCCCTGCTCACCGTAGTATGGGGCGTGCAGTTTGACCTTGCAGTGCCCATCACCTAATTTTTTTATGGTGCTGTTAAGAAAGTCATACCTAGGTCCTGCAAGGTCCGGAGCGCTCGGGACCTTGCAGGGAACGGGGCCTAACAGACCCCCCTCCGTGCAAGCTGATTTGCTAAACAGCCCTCAAAAATAAAAAAAATAGAAAAATCAGCCATTCTTGATTTCCTGAGCCACTTGAGACCAGCACCATTTTCCCAAACCCAACTCCAATCCGGTTTCGTGGGCATCCCCACAAATGAAACACATGAGCTAAAAGTAAGACATGTGAATTGGCCCAAACATAGCTAACTTGTGAGCTATTTCAAATTGTTCATTGCTGTTCTCCACCCTCCTTCGCAATCTTCTCTTCATTCAAGACTCTCTGTTCTTCTTCGGCAACGGCTTGTTCAAAAAGTTCATCGCAAAAGCAATCTTTCGCAATGAGAAGCAAGGACCGCTGATCTGGCCTCAATTTGAAGCTCAACAAGTTGGTGACAGGAAGATGGTCTTAAATCAAAGCTGACTAGAAAGTATTTGCACCAGACAGCAACAACCAAAAACAATTTGAAATATACTACCGGGGCACGTGTCAAGCCAAGGAAGGAAATACGTGATGTAACAGGACACGCACATGCGATCAAACCCCAAGATCTCCCCATCTTTCCAGGCTTTCGGCATGATGCGAACAGGCGTAGCGAGGGTACTAATCAGCAACTACTTAAGCAAAAGAGCTTCAGTGCAATAAACTTGGCATTGCAGGATTTCCAGTTAGTTTCAAGTCAACTGCAGCTCAGGTATCAAATATTGATGAAATCCAATCAAAATTTCAACTGGAAATGAAATCTCAGAAAGATTGATGAATCCAGAACTTGGCACGCACGTCGCAAACATAAGCCCGCAGCTTGTTCCTGTTGCTGGCTTGATCGTCCCCTTCAAACCAACACGCAGTTACTTTGACATGCGTTTGCTCCAATGACGAACCATGGGCTTTTTGGCATCAACCTCAAGCCATAAATTAATTGCATCATTCAGAGTCACTTTGAATTTGATATCCTTCAGGTCCTTGGTTATTTTCAATGTTTTCTTTTGCCGGGGGGGGGCCCACGGTTTGACAACGGTTCAAACCTAGCAATACCCAAATTAATTTTACTGTAATCCCTTTTTGGCCAGCAGTTCTGTTCCCCCTTTAAAAGGTCAAGATTCCTGATCACCAGTTTGCTCCGTCTCGGTCACAAAGGCAACTGCACCAGCTGCAACGGTCTTGAACCTCGAGCATCGTTCCTCGGACATGAGCAGAGATACATTGTGACGGTTTGTCAGGGTAAAAAACAAATGCATTGATCCTGGTCTAGTCTCCAAACATGACATTGGGTGAGTTTTTTTGGTTTCCATCACCCCTTTTTCTACCAAGTTTCTAGGAACACCCTTTTTTCATTGATCAAGTTCCAGGGGTTGATGGAATCGCTACCCACCACTGCTGCTGCTCTGGGATGTTGGTCACGAAAAGCACGACTCATCCAGCAGATACGTTTTGGCAACGCCGGGACTCTCCTGGCTCATGGCTATGATAGTGGCTATGATACGTTTTTGAATATGGGATACATGGCTATGATAATGCTGTTAGGGCACTTGTAGGGAATCATCACACCATCGGCACCCTTGCTGAGGAAATATTTGGGCGACACCACATACCTTAATGTGTTGATGTGGCATGCAGTCAGGGAATTCAAGTGAACATTCCATGGACACTTTTAATTTAGGATACATCATGTCATCACTGCATGTTGCTTGTTTTAATCCAAGATGCACCCCCTTAAAAAAAGCCAAGAATGAAGCAGTGGGGTTGGGCTTCAACGGGTCTGACTGGACCGCGATGTTGACCATGTTCCTCAGATAAGTTGCATCATTGATTGAGTAGTACAACAGCAATTGACAATACTACCGGGGTTACCACTGCCACTATTCCGAAAAAAAGATTCCACATTCAATCAAGAAACCCAGCTATGGTCAGTTTGGCCCCGCAATCAAGAACAGCCCTTCTCAGCTTTGGGGTGGACAAAGATGCAGGGAGCAAGACCCTCATGCTTCTGAACTCAGGCAGCCCTGTTGGAAGTCCTTCAACAGCCACATCACCTTGGAAGGCTTGAGGACCCCGGTTTAAGACAAAATGACACAAATCATTTCCAGAAACCATAGCTTGAAACAAATCAGGGAAGTTTGAAAACACCATCATTTATTTCTAATATAAATTACTGGTCAGATTATTTGACTATATTTTGGTTGATGAGGGACGTTTTTCCAAGTCTTTCAGGTAGAGCTTTTGCCGCTTTGAGTCCATCTGTTGTTGTTTAGCAGCTTCTTCAGAAAGTAGCTTTCGGCCCTTCCGATTGGCGAAAATCAAGCCTTGTTGGAAAGCTTTGACACCTTAGAATCCAGACCATGTACTGGCCCCTGAAAAGTAACCCCAATAATAAATCTTCAATCCACCATTTGTGAACAATTCCATTTCACTTCAAAAGTTAGTTACTAATCACAAAGCCAAATAACGTTTTTTCGTTCGTTGGAGCAAACTGCGATCCTTTTCCTTTTGGTGGGCTTCTGACCACAAGCTGGAAGCCAACTTTCTAACATGTTGGTGTTGTTGGGAACCATGATCTGGGTCATCCTTTCCCAGTGCAACCTTGACATTCTCCCGACGCCGTCTCAACCAGCTAGCGGCATTGGCCCACGCCAATGACGCCTTTGCTTTCCCAGGATCAGTGCGTTTCCTTCGCATCGATAGCCGCTTGGTGGACTCAGCGAATGGGAATCAGGGCAAAGTGGTTGTCAGCAAAGCCGTTGATAATTTGAGTCAATGCGGGGAAGAATCATAGTACTTAAGATAGCACATGAATTGAATGGAGTCGAGTGGCTTGTCTGTGAGATCCGTAATGGGTTGCCTTAGTGGTGACAAGTACCAAAACAAGCAAGCCCAAAGTCACATAAACTTGACACTGGGGATACCAAAGTGAAAAGTTTAAAATTTACAATATTAATGCAGGTGGGTCTCCCACTCTTCCTGTGCCATCACGATGAGCCTAAGAAGCCGATAATGGCAATGCCAATATTCTTGCATTTGAGAGCCCCCACAAACAGTAAAAACTTGTTTAGTTTAAAGTTTAAAGTTTAAACCTTTATATTGCTGTCATTGAAATGAATTTAGAGGAAGGTACTCATCCACATGTTGCTCCGGAAATTGAATTGCCAACACCTCATCGCATGCGAGATCAGGGGTGACCTCCCGCTTCACATGCTTCGCCCAAGATCCAATAGAGAAGGATCGTTCAACTCCAGAGGAACTGAAGCCCCAAGCAGCGCAACGAAGAAGCACATGCTGCACCAAATCCGTGGGCATCTTTTCCATCGTAACCTCAAGCGAGAGGAAAACAGAAATAAGATTGCCTACCATGTTGAGATCTATGGTTCGGAGACCACTCGGGTAATCAGTTGCGTGAATGCCAACAATGGCCAAGTCAGACTTACAACTTGCATCGGAAGTTCTATTCCGAGGATGAAGGGGCAACAGACTTTGCTTCAACGTGAACATCGTGAACACCATCAACTCTGAGAAACACCATCACCCATAATCATTATTAAACTAGTCTTTTTGATTTGATTCTGATGTCAATTGATGCGGGTGGTGATGATGATAAGTCGAAAGCCGAAATCTGATATTGAGGATGGGAACCAATGATGTGAATGTGAATGACATATAAACTGACTAACAGGTCTAATGAAATGAACCTGATGCGGCACTGGCCAAACTCCAAACCATTGAGAAACAGCATGATGATTTACGAAAATGATGTTGATGATGATTGATGATGATTGATGATGATGATGATGATGATGATGATGATGACGAGGGTGATGATGATGCTGATGATGGTGATGAGGATCTTGATGATGATGATGATGATGATGATGACGATGGTGATGATGATGGTGATGATGATGATGTTGATGATGTTGAATTATGATAAATGATGATGATGATCATGATGATGATGATGTTGTTGATGTTGTTGTTGATGATGATGATGATGATGATGCTAAGGATATTATTGATGACTATGATGATGATGATGAGGATGAGGATGATGATGACGACGAGGGTGACGATGATGCTGATGATGGTGATGAGGATCTTGATGATGATGATGATGATGATGATGATGATGATGTTGATGATGATGATGATGATGGGGATCTTGATGATGATGATGATGATGGTGATGATGGTGATGATGATGATGATGATGATGATGATGATGATCTTGATGATGATGATGATGATGATGATGGTGGTGATGATGATGATGATGAATGATGATAAATGGTGATAAATGGTGATAAATGGTTGTGACACTGAAACGCAGCCCAGCAGCAGCCTTGATCCAGGATTCCAAAGATCCGAGCTTCTTCACCGACTGGAGCCCGCATGCAACTGGGCGCACCCGAGCAAGTTGCATCAACAGTTCATCCTTAGTGGGCAGATTTGGATAGATCTATGGATAAATTTGGATAGGTGAATTTTGGGTAATATTTTCGCACCACCTGCGACGGATAATAATTCCCAGCCCTAAAGATTTGAATGTATACTTGAAATGGTTTGAAGCTTTTAGCACCTATGATTTCGCTTGTTTTCCTAACAAACAAATCAGAAAACACATCCAAAATG